GGTTGGAGCAGGGGGTGCCCCACCTGCTCCGGGGGGACCCCACACCCACCCGGCCATGGGGACCCTCCCTGGGGACCCCCAATTTGGGGCACAGAGCCCTCCCCCCTCAGCTCTGGGTGTCCCTCCCCTTGGGGATCCCACATCCCTTGGGTACAGACCCCCGTCCCAGGGACCCTCAACCCTTGGGGCACAGCCCCTCCCCCATCACTCCCTGGGCTCAAAGCCCCCCAACCCCCCCAGCCACGGGCACCTCACCCTGAGACCCCGCACCTTGGGGACCCCCAGTCTGGGGCACAGGGCCCCCCATGAGAGACCCTCCCGCCCATCTGGGGCACGGCCCCCCCCTGCACTGCCGGTGCCCCCCGAGCACCCCGTGGCACAGACCCCGCCGCTCCCCCGGGTGCCCCCCAAACCACCCCCAGCCTCCTCTGAGTCCCCCCCGGGAGTCCCCCCTCACCCCCCCGGCCCGGGGGGCACCTGCAGCTGCTGGAGGCGGGTGCTGAGGGTCCGGGTGAGGGTCCGAGCGTCCCCGCGGACCCTCTCGAGCCGCACGGGGCGACCCCCGGCCACGGCCACCCCCAGGCACAGGAGCCCCCACAGGGACACGCCGGGACACCGCATCCCGCCGGGATCTGGGGAGGGGGGGCACAGGGGTCACCGGGGGCGTCCTGAGCCCCGGGACATCCCCGGGGACACGGGAGGGGACAGGGGCAGGGACGGGACGGGGGACCAGGGAGGCGAGGGCAGCGCCGTCGGTGGCACGTGGGCTCCGGATCCTCGTCGCCGTGTCCCCGTCCCACTGTGCCACCGTGTCCCCGTCCCACTGTGCCACCGTGTCCCCGCCGGCACGCGCGGTCGGGCCGTGTCCCTGACGCCTTCCCGGAGCCCTTTGGCAGCGGCCGCCGCGGCCCTGGTGGTGCCCGGGACCGCGCAGGGGGACGGGGCGGGTGCGGGACACGGCTCGGGGGGGTCAGGGGGGTCAGGGGACACTCTGTCCTCAGTGGGAGGCGGGTGGGCACTGAGGGGACACGTGGTCTTGTCACCCACTCCTGGGGATGGGGGACAGGGACGTGGGGACGGTGGGGACGGTGGGGACAGGGGGATGAGGGGTAGGGAGATGAGAGGG